TCATAGGACAGGGTTATTTCAGGAGGAGTAAAACCAAGTGCAGTGGTATGATCTTGGCTCACCACAAGCTCCACCTCCCGGGGTCACGCCATTCTCCTGCCTCAGCTTCCTGAGTAGCTGAGACTACCGGCGCCCACCACCACGCCCGGCTAATTTTTGTATTTTTAGTAGAGACGGGGTTTCACCATTTTGGCCAGGCTAGTCTCGAACTCCTGACCTCAGGTGATCCGTCCTCGGCCTCCTAAAGTGCTGGGATTACAGGTGCAAGCCACTGCGCCTGGCCTCTTTCAAAGATCCCCCCAGCACCAGTCTCTGTTCTTCCTCACCCTTTCCCCATGCCCCCAATTCACACTGTTTTTATACCCGGCACATACCTCCGATTCACACTGTATGTATACCAGGCTCATGACCCCGATTCACACTGTCTATATTTATACCAGGCTCATGCCCTGATTCACACTGTCTGGACTTACACCAGGCTCATGCCCCCGATTCACACTGTCTGGACTTACACCAGGCTCATGCCCCCGATTCACACTGTCTGTATTTATACCAGGCACTATGCGAGGCCTCGGGACGCAGTGGCATGGAGAAGCATCCGGTTCCTGTTGTCACAGAACTTCCAGCCCACTGGCCGCGTTTGTGATCACACAAAGAAAGGTAAAAATGCAACTGTGGGTAGCATGACAAAGGAGAGGCGCGCGGTACCAGGAAAGCTCGTGACAGGGGAGAATTGGGGAAGACTTCCTGGAGGAAGGACGTTTCAGCTGAGATGTGGAGAAGGATGAGCAAGAATTCGATTGTTTCCAAAGGAAGGAGGAGTATCCCAGGCGGAGAGAGCAGCCACGTGCGAAGGTGCTGCATGGCAAATGTGTAGATGTTCCAAAAACAGTCGCTGACTGAGGAGGTAGGAGGGACTGGACGGAGGTCAGCGTGGCTGGGGCTGATGGAGGGAGGAGGGCGAGGCTGCAGAGGTGGGCAGGGCCAGGCCAGGCCGGGCTCGAGCAGCACCAGGAGAATGGTCCTTACACCATGAGCAGTAGGGACCGGTGTAGGACGTGAGTCTGGAATGATAGGCCTGGATACAGGTTTCCAAAACACCGTTCTGCCTGCAGCGTGGGGATCACAGGGAGATGAGTCGGGAGCTGTTGCGAAGGTTCAGTGGGATGATGGTGGCTGAGGCAATCCCAGCTGCTCAGGGTCTTCCACAGAACAAAGTCCAAATGCAGGCCAGCTTTACATTTCCTCTGTGTGTGTATTTGTTTGAGATGGAGTTTGGCTCTTGTTGCCCAGGCTGCAGTGCAATGGCAAGATCTCAGCTCACCGCGACCTCCGCCTCCCGGGTTCAAGCATTTCTCCTGCCTCAGCCTCCCAAGTAGCTGAGATTATAGCATCCACCATGCCTGGCTAATTTTGCATTTTTAGTAGCAACAGGGTTTCACCATGTTGGTCTGGCTGGTCTTGAACTCCCGACCTCGGTGATCCCAGCCTTCTAAAGTGCTGGGATTACAGGCATGAGCCACTGCACCTGGCCTACATTTCCTGTTTCATCCTCCACTATTTTCTTCCACAACCACCGGGCCCAGCCGATCTGAGTTGCTCGAGGTTCGAGCACCGACCTCTACAGGGCTTTATTCTGGCTATTTCACCTGCTTCTCCAAAACGCCACATGTCCAGATCCCTCCATCCTTTAAGGGGTGGCTCCAAGGCCACCTCCTCTGTGAAGCCCACCAAGATTCCTCCAGCTCTGCCAGAGGAATAAGAAACCTTGGCACTCTTGGAACGTATATCTCGTGCTGGGAACAATGCTAAATGCTGCCACGCATTAGAGCAATTCATCCTCTGTATTAGTCTGTTCTCATGTCACTAATAAAGACATACCCTAGACTGGGTAATTCATAAAGGAAAGAGGTTTAACTGACTCACAGTTCAGCATGGCTGGAGAGGCTCAGGAAACTTACAATCATAGCGGAAGGGGTGGTAAACACGTCCTTCTTCACATGGTGGCAGGAAGGAAAAGTGCTGAACAAAAGGGGAAAGTCCCTTATAAAACCATCACATTCACTGGTGCGGTGGCTGACGCCTGTAATTCCAGCACTTTGGGAGGCCGAGGTGGGTGGATCACCTGAAATCGGGAGTTCAAGACCAGCCTGGCCCACATGGCAAAACCCTGTCTCCACTCAAAATACAAAAATGAGCCGGGTGTGGTAGCAGGTGCCTATAATCCCAGCTACTCAGGAGACTGAAGCAGGAGAATTACTTGAACCCGGGAGGCGGAGGTTGCAGTGAGCTGAGATTGCACCATTGCATGGCTGAGGTGGGTGAATCACCTGAGGTCAGGAGTTTGAGACCAGACTGACCAAGATGGAAAAACCCTGTCTCTACTAAAAATACAAAAAACGAGCTGGGCGTGGTGGCGCCTACCTATAATCCCAGCAACTTGGGAGGCTGAGGCAGGAAAATCGCTTGAACCCGTGAGGCGGAGGTTGCAGTGAGCCAAGACCGTACCACGGCACTCCAGCCTGGGCAACAAGAGCAGAACTCTGTCTCAGAAAAAAAAAAAAAAAATCCACCAGATCTCATGAGAACTCACTATCACGAGAGCAACACATGGGGGTAACTGCCCCAGGATTCAGTGACCTCCACTGGGTCCCTCCGAGGACACGAGGGGATTGTGGGAACTACAATTCAGGATGAGATTTGGGTGGGGACACAGCCAAGCCGTATCACCTTCCTAACACTCCAACAAGGCAGGGATTGTGATTAGTCCATTTCATAGACGAAGAGATGGGGGCAGAGCACAGACCATGATGTGGATGTGGTACAAGAAGCTACTGGGGAGGGGGAAAACGCCAGATCAACAAGGGCCCTGGGCCAGGAGCAGTGGCGCATGCCTGTAATCTCAGCACTGTGGGAGGCCAAGGTGGGCAGATTGCTTGAGGTCAGGAGTTCAAGACCAGCCTGGGAAACATGGCAAAACCCCATCTGTACAAAAAATACAAAAATTAGCTGGGCGTGGTGGCGCATGCCTGTAGTCCCAGCTACTTGGGAGGCTGAGGCAGGAGAATGGCGTGACCCTGGGAGGCGGAGGTTGCAGTGAGCCGAGATCTCACCACAGCACTCCAGCCCGGGCGACAGAGCAAGACTCCGTCTCAAAAACAAAGGAACAAACAAACAAAAACGGCCTGACGGTCCCATAAGGGAGTCAGGATTTTGTCCTGCAGGAACAGGGAGCCAATGAAGGATATGAAGTGGGGACAGGATCAGATTTTCATTTTAGGAATGATCTCTCTGACTACTGTGTAGAGTATGAGCTGGAGATTGGGAGCAGACAGTTTCAAAGACTGGAACGAAGTAGAGGATTGAAAAAGAGTTCAGATTTGAGAAGTTCTGAAGGTAGAATCCATGGGTTTTGGTGAAAGGTGAGATGGAGGGTGGAGGAGGAACGGGACTCGAAGGATTCCAGGGTTCCCGGCTTGGGTGCAGGATGAGTGGAGGTGCCCTTCCTCCAGCTGGGAACCGGGAAGAGGGCCGTGCAGTGTTCGGGCTTGGATTTGGGCAGAGGTGGGGAGTGCCGCGGGGTGTAGCTGTACTTGGATAAACCGGCCCCATTGTGCAGGAGTCGTCACACAGGGATGCAGCTGAGGCCATCCCCGAGGGGCACGATTGGACAGACCAGACATGGACTTGTGGGCGGGGCAACAGAGGAGAAGACAGACAGGACTGTGGGCGGGGCAATGATGGAAAGACAGACAGGACTGTGGGGCGGGGGCAGATGGAAAGACAAAAAAAAGACCAGGACCACTGTGGCGGTGGCAGATTGGAAAGACAGACAGGACTTGTGGGCGGGCAGGTGGAAAGACATGACAGAGGACCGTGGGCGGGGCAGATGGAAAGACAGACAGGACTGTGGGCGGGGCAATGGAAAGACAGACAGGACCGTGGCGGGGAGCTGAAAGACAGACAGACGGGGGGGGCAGAATGGAAACACAGGACTGTGGGCGGGGCAGATGGAAAGACAGAACTGTGGGGAACACTGACTCATAAATAAAGGGGGTGCTGGGAAGAAGGCTGGACGGACTGAAGGAGGGGCGGGGCGGCGGGCAGCAACTGGGGAATGAAGATGGGAAAGAAGCAGGATGTGACAGTGCCCTTCCGTGCGCGGAGCATCAAACCCCTTTTTTTTTTGGGCAATGCTGGGGTCGTGCTACCCTTGGGGGTTTTCAAGACAGTGGGGGAGAGGGGCCGTGGGGAGGAGGAACCCGCGGGGGATGGGGCCGGTGGGGATGAGGGCCAGTGGGGGGATAGGTGGGGATGGGGTTGGGGATGAGCAGTTGGGGGTGGGGGGGGTGCGCAGCAGACAGTGTGGAGGCAGCTCTAGGAGCTCATGTGTGGGGTTGGCCAGAGCAAATACAAGTGGTGGACGAGGGTTTCTTTCAGATGGGAAAGGAGGAGAGCTGAAGAGGAGAAGGGATGAGACCGAGTGATGGGTGCCATGGTCGGGGCAGAGAGAGGGCTGAGGTCTGGTACGAGCTCAGGGACGGCCTGTGGACAGAGTGGGGAGGGCAATCTTGTTCTTGGAAATTGGATGAGGGGCTGGGTGTGTTGGCTCACACCGGTAAATCCCAGCACTGTGGGAGGTTGAAATGGGCAGATCACCTGAGGCCAAGAGTTCAAGATCAACCTGGCCAACATGTGAAACGTTGTTTCTACTGAAAATACAAATATCAGCCAGGCTTGATGGCATGTGCCTGTAGGCCTGGCTACTTGGAAGGTTGAAGCAGGAGAATCACTTGAGCCTGGGAGGCGGAGGTTGCAGTGAACTGAGATCGCACTATTGCACTCCAGCCTAGGTGACAGAGTGAGGCTCTGTCTTAAAAACAACACAACAAAAAAAGAATTTGGAACGGTACCTAACATTTAGTAGGTACTCAGTGAATATTAGTGATATTAGCCCTCAGCACTGGGCTCCCTCAACTCCCTCCTCCCTGGCTGCTGATTTTTCCCTTTAGAAATTCATTTCCACAACTACACTCCACCCCTTTGCCATCCCCCGACCCGACTCCTGCTTTGAAACTCAACTCCTAACTTCCCTCTCACCCTCTCATGCCCTTTGTCTTCTCTGAGCCTGTGGTCGCTTTTCTCTTCCAAGTTTATCACCGTCTCCCTGGCCCTGCTCCCTCCCACCCCAGCCCAACCCTTCGGTGCATCACCTCAGCCACCTCGCCAGCGTCTTCCTTGCCACCCTGCTCTCATGGCAGCTCTGCCATCCTCAGCCTTGGGGTGACCCGATACGCATGTCTGGGAACCTGCACCTACAGCTGGAGCAAATCACACGTGGATGGCCGACAACAACACCCCACAGGCCGATAATACCCCACAGATCAATAACAACAGTCCACAGGCAGAAAACAACACCCTACAGGCCAACAACAACACTCCACAGGCTGATAACACCCCGCAGGCTGATAACAACGACGCATGGACTGATAACACCCTGCAGGCTGATAACAACACCCCACGGGCTGAAAACACCCCACAGGCTGATAACACCCCACAGGCCAACAACACCCCATAGGCCAAAAACAACACCCCCCAGTCTGATAACAACACCCCACAGGCCAACAACAACAACCCACAGGCTGATAACACCCCACAGATCAATAACAACAGTCCACAGGCAGAAAACAACACCTCGCAGTCCAATAACAACACTCCACAGGCTGAAAACACCCCGCAGGCCAATAACAACCCATGGGCTGATAACACCCCACAGGCTAAAAACAACACCCCACAGGCTGATAACAACACCCCACAGGCTGATAACACACCACAGATCAATAACAACAGTCCACAGGCAGAAAACAACACCTCGCAGTCCAATAACAACACCCCACAGGCTGAAAACACCCCGCAGGCCGATAACAACACCCCACAGGCTGATAACACCCCACAGGCCGATAACAACACCCCACAGGCTGATAACACCCCACAGGCTGATAACACACCACAGGCTGATAACAACACCCCACAGGCTGAAAACACCCCGCAGGCTGATAACACACCACAGGCTGATAACAACACCCCACAGGCTGATAACACCACCCCACAGACTGATAACACACCACAGGCTGATAACAACATCTCACATCCATGGTCCCCAGCCTCAGCAGAGGCCTCGGGCCATTGACCTGTCTGTGCCTGGTCACCTCCTCTCCCTGCTGCCACCAGGCCCCTAGTTCTCAGCAAATGACCTTGGGCCCACATCCCTGGAGGCCTGGAGGGCACACAGCGTGAGCCAGCCCCTTCCCTCTGAGCAGTTCCATCTGCCTCTGCCCTCACAGCCTCTCCTTCAAGCTCCCAGGGACAGGGCATCTTTCTTCCTGGGTTCTGGATCCCATCTCTCCACTGCTTCCCGGACCTCAGCTCATCAATGATCCCTCTCCATTTTGCCGAGGCCCTTCCATCTCCCAGTCATCAGGGATCTACGTGTGGCCAAGGCAGTGGATGCCTCCATGCTCACTGAACCTGAGCTGCCTCAGAGCTGGCTGCTCCCTCCTTCAGACTCTCTCCTCCCTGGGCGCCTCTCCCCCTTTCCTAGATTTCCTTCCACCTCCTGGAATCTCCTTTTCAAAACGTTTTTCTGTCTACTCCCCTCAGCCCTCCTCTAGATGTTAGACTCCCACATCTCTAATGTGGCTCCAGTGTCTCCCTCCCCTCCCCATCGCTTCCCTTCCCTTCCCTTCCCTTTTTGAGACAGTCTTGCTCTGTAGCCCAGGCTGGAGTGCAGTGGCGCAATCTTGGCTCACTGTAACCTCTGCCTCCGCCTCCGGGGTCCCAGTTCAAGCGATTCTCCTGCCTCAGCCTCCGGAGTAGCTGGGATTACAGGTGTACGCCACCATGCCCGGCTAATTTTTGTATTTTTAGTAGAGATGGGGTTTCACCATGTTGGCCAGGCTAGTCTTGAACTCCTGACATCGTGATCTGCCCACCTTGGCCTCCCAAAGTCCTGGGATTGCAGTGAGCCACCGCGCCCGGCCCTCTTTAATTTTTTGAGACGGACTCTTGCTCTATTGCCCAGGCTGGAGTGCGGTGACATGATCTTGGCTCACTACAACCTCTGCTGCCCGGGTTTAAGTGATTCTTCTGCCTCAGCCTCCCGAGTAGCTGGGATTATAGGCGTGTGCCACCACGCCTGGCTAATTTTTTGTATTTTTAAAAGGAACAGGGTTTCACTATGTTGGCCAGTCTGGTCTTGAACTCCTGACCTCAACTGATCCACCCGCCTTGGCCTCCCAAAGCGTTGGGATTACAGGCATGAGCCATCGCACCTGGCCAGAACTTAAATTCCTAGAGCAAGTCCCTGCCGCCTCCCTCTCCCACAACACCCTTGCAGCCTTCTGCCATGTCAGCCAGACTGTCTACTTATCCGATCCATCTGCTTCCCAAATGTCAACACAGTGCCTGGTTCATAAAAGAGGCACATTCATTCACGGGGCCCTGACCGTCCTCTGCTACTTAGTTCCCTCAACACAAGCAACTTGCCATTCAGGTCGACTGAATGAATAAATTGTCAGTGCAACCAACTCTTAGAGGGTTTCAAAGCCCCTCTGTCCCTGGCCCTGGGCCCGGCCTCTTCGCCTCTCGTCTGCATTCCTACGAGGAATCCCAGCCCCTCTGCTAAATATCCAGCCTCATCCCCTCCTCTCACCCTGCCCCAGACTGATCCACCAAAATGGAGATCCAACCACACTCCTCTCGGCTGCAAAGCCTACGACGTGCTGCCAAGGCAGAGATGATGCTTGAAGACGTTATGCAAAGCGAACGAGGCCAGGAACACAAGGCCTCGTACTGTATGATTCCATTTATCATTTAATGTACAGAATAGGCAGATCTAGAGAAACAGAGAGGAGATGAGTGGTTGTTTGGGGCTGGGAGGGTCAGGGATGGAGGGTGATAGCTAAAGGGGACAGGGTTTCTTTCTTTTATTTTTTTTGAGATGGAGTCTCACTCTGTCACTCAGGCTGGAGTGCAGTGGCTGGATTTCGGCTCACTACAACCTCTGCCTCCCGAGTTCAAGTGTTTCTCCTGTCTTAGCCTCCCGAGTAGCTGGGATTGCAGGCACCCGCCACCACGCCCGGCTACATTTTTTGTATTTTTAGTAGAGATGGGGTTGCACCATACTGGCCAGGCTAGTCTCGAACTCCTGACCCCAGGTGATCCACCCGCCTCCGCCTCCCAAAGTGCTGGGATTACAGGCATGAACCACCACGCCTGGCCAGGATACAGGGATTCTTTTGGATATGAGGCAAATGTTCCAAATTGACTGCAGCTGTGGTTGCACCTGTCTGTGAATACACTTTAGATGGGTGCATTGTATGGTATGTGAGTTATATCTCTTTTTTTTTTTGAGATGGAGTCTTGCTCTGTCGCCCAGGCTGGAGTGCAGTGGCATGATCTCGGCTCACTGCAAGCCGCCCTCCGGGTTCACGGCCCATTCTGCCTCAGCCTCCCGAGTAGCTGGACTACAGGCCACCCGCCACCATGCCAGGTAATTTTTGTATTTGTTTTAGTAGAGATGGGGTTCACCTGTGGTTTGCCAGGGATAGTCTTCGATCCCTCCTGGAACCTCGTGAATCCAGCCCGCCTCAGCCTCCAGAGTGCTGGGATTACCAGGTCCAATTGATCCACGCACGCCCGGCCCACGGTAAGGGGTTTCTTTGGGACTAGGCAAAAGCTTTCCAAATTACCTGCCAGCCTGTGTGCACCTGTCTGTGAATACACTTTTAGAATAGGGTGCCAATCATGATGGTGTGGTCGGAGTCTATATCCTCCCTTTTTGTTTTTTGAGATGGAGGTTTTGCTGCTGTCGCCCAGGCCTGGAGTAGTGGCGTGGATCGTGGCCAACTGCAAACTCTGCCCATTCTTCGGGTTCACGCCATTCCTCCTGCCTCCAAGCCTTCCCCATGAGTAGCTGTGGCACTATAGGCTCTCCACCACCACGCCCAGCTAAATTTTGTGTTTTAGCAGAACATGTTTCAACTGTCGTGTTGCCCAGGATGGTCGATCTCCTGAACCTCGTGATCCACCCACCTCCGCCTCCCCAGATGCTGGGATTACAGGCTGGAGCCCAACTGCACCCCGCCTGAGTTATAATCAATAAAGCATTTTAAAACACCCTATGCCCTTCCCACCTCCCCGGCGAGGCCGCCCCGCCATCACCCGCTGGGGCCGGGCACCAGTGGCTCAAGCCTGTAATCCCGCACTTTTGGGCCTGAGGCGCGCCTGATCACGAGGTCAGGAATCTTGAAACCATCCCTGGCTAACAACAGTGAACCCCCGTCCTCTACTAACAAAAAATACACAAAAAATTAGCCGGGCGTGGTGGCGGGCGCCTGTAGTCCCAGCTACTTGGGAGACTGAGGCAGGAGAATGGCGTAAACCCAGGAGGTGGAGCTTGCAGTGAGCCGAGATCGCGCCACTGCACTCCAACCTGGGCAACAGAACGAGACTTGTCTCAAAAACAAAACAAAACATAACAAAAAAACCCCCAAAAAATACCATTACCCTGTCAGAGCCCCATACCCTCCCGGTGTTGTTCTGAAGCCTGGGTGTGGCCCGTCTCATTTCACCCCCTCACGGCTGTCTTGTGCAGGCATTATGGTTATGCCCGTTTTGCAGACAGGAATGCCGGGGAGAAAAGCCGTTTGAATGACTTTCCCAGCTGATTACCTTAAGTTTATGTCTAGCATGGGTGCTTCTTGCAGTATGTCATAAGAATCTGTTTAAGAGTTCCTCCCCGCAGGACTGGAGGCTCTGGGCAGCTCCTGAGTCCGAGGGACTTGGCATGGGCTCTAGAAGCAGGCCTGGCAGGGGCCTTCCGGCAGCTCTCTGTGAGCCTGCTGTACCGGGACCGCTTACGGGTAGAGCCAGGACCCAGGGTGCAGCCAGTGTCTCCTGGGCCAGGGCCCACCTCTTGGTACCAGGGAAAGGCCCTCGGGAGGGGAGACCAGATTTGGGGAGGGAGCCACCCAAGGGCTCAGGAGAAAACAGCTGCTGGAATCCATCTCCGGGCAGGGTGGCAGGATGCAGGCTGCGGCAGGACCTGCCTCTGTCAAAGGGAGCCTAAAGTCCAAGGCGAGGAGACCCGGAAAACCTGCCCCCGTGCGCTTCTACTTTTTTTTTTTTTTGAGACGGAGACCGCTCTCTGTCTGCCCAGGCTGGAGTGCAGTGGCCGGATCTCAAGCTCACTGCAAGCTCCGCTCCCCGGGTTCACGCCATTCTCCTGCCTCAGGCCTCCCCGAGTAGCTGGGACTACAGGCGCCGCCACCTCGCCCGGCTAGTTTTTTGTATTTTTTAGTAGAGACGGGGTTTCACCGTGTTAACCAGGATGGTCTCGATCTGCTGACCTTGTGATCCACCCGTCTCGGCCCTCCCAAAGTGCTGGGATTACACGCTTGAGCCACCGCGCGCCCGGCCTCTACATTCTTTAAAGGTTTTGTTTGTTTTGTTTGAGACGGAGTTCACTCTGTCACCCCAGCTAGATGCAATGATGCCAATCTCGGCTCACTGCAGCTCCGCCTCCCAGGTTCATGCAATTTTCTTGCCTCAGCCTCCCAAGTAGCTGGCATTACAGGCACCCGCCACTGCGCCCGGCTAATTTTTGTATTTTTAGTAGACATGGGGTTGTGCCATGTTGGCCAGGCTGGTCTCAAACTCCTGACCCTCAGGGAATCCTCCCATCTCGGCTTTCCAAGGTGCTGGGATTACAGGCATGAGTCCACCACACTCGGCCGTTTTACGGTTTTTGAGTCAGGTCTGATGAATACTGGGCTGGACACAGGAATACAGTGCTGACCAAT